CACCCACACCCGTGCCCGGAGTGTGGGAAGAGCTTCCTCTCCCTGAGCAATCTCGCAGTGCACCAGGTCACGCACGCTGGGGAGCAGCTGTACCGCTGTGCCGAGTGCAAGAAGAGCTTCACCAAGTGGGATCACCTCCAAAGCCACATGTGCATGCACGCAGGGGAGAAGCTGTTCTCCTGCCAGCAGTGTGGGGAGAGCTTCGCCAAGAGCTCCATGCTCGTGCAGCACCTGCGCGTGCATATGGGAGAGAAGCCCTTCTCGTGTGGCCAGTGTGGGAAGAGCTTCTCCAAGAGCTCCACGCTTACCAAGCACCTGCGCGTGCACACGGGAGAGAAGCCCTTCTCCTGCAGCCATTGTGGGAAGAGCTTCACGCAAAGCTCCCATCTCACCAATCACCTACGCTTGCACACGGGTGAGAAGCCCTTCTGCTGCAGCCAGTGCGGGAAAAGCTTCAGGCAGAGCTCCAACCTCATCTATCACCTGCGCATGCACACGGGGGAGAAACCCTTCTCCTGCAGGCACTGCGGGAAGAGCTTCATGCAGAGCTCCCATCTCACCAATCACCTGCGCGTGCACACGGGCGAGAAGCCCTTCTGTTGCTGCCAGTGCGGGAAGAGCTTCACGCAGAGCTCCAAACTCACCAATCACCTGCGCGTGCACACGGGGGAGAAACCCTTCTCCTGCAGCCAGTGTGGAAAGAGCTTCAGGCAGAGCTCCACGCTTACCACGCACCTGCGCGTGCACACGGGGGAGAAACCGTTCTCGTGCACCCAGTGTGAGAAGAGCTTCAGCGACAGCTCGACGCTTATGTATCACCTGCGCGTGCATACGGGGGAGAAGCCATTTTCTTGCACGCAGTGCGGGAAGAGCTTCACAAAGGGCTACAAACTCAAGAACCACTTGCGCGTGCACATGGGGGAGAAGCCTTTCTCTTGCACCCAGTGTGAGAAGAGCTTCACCGACAGCTCTATGCTCACGAGTCACCTGAGAATGCACACAGGGGAGAAAATGTTTTCGTGCACCCAGTGTGGGAAAACTTTCACAAAGAGTTACACACTCACACAGCACCTCCGCGTGCACACGGGTGAGAAACCGTTCTGCTGCAGCCAGTGCGGGAAGAGGTTCAGGCAGAGCTCCAACCTCACCTATCACCTGCGCGTGCACACGGGGGAGAAACCCTTCTCCTGCAGCCAGTGTGGGAAGAGCTTCACACAAAGCTCCAAACTCACCAGTCACCTGCGTGTGCACACGGGGGAAAAACCATTTTCTTGCACCCAGTGCGGGAAGAGCTTTACGCAGAGCTCCAATCTCACCAATCACCTGCGCGTGCACACGGGTGAGAAGCCGTTCTCCTGCAGCCAGTGCGGGAAGAGCTTCACGCAGAGCTACAAACTCACCAATCACCTGCGCGTGCACACGGGGGAGAAACCCTTCTCCTGCAGCCAGTGTGGAAAGAGCTTCACGCTGAGCTCCACGCTTACCACGCACCTGCGTGTGCACACAGGGGAGAAACCGTTCTCGTGCACCCAGTGTGAGAAGAGCTTCAGCGACAGCTCGACGCTCACGTATCACCTGCGCGTGCACACAGGTGAGAAGCCATTTGCTTGCACCCAGTGCGGGAAGAGCTTCACCAAGAGCTCCAAACTTAAAAGCCACTTGCACGTGCACATGGAGGACAAGCCATTCTCTTGCACCCAGTGTGAGAAGAGCTTTGCTGAGAGCTCGAGGCTCGCAAGTCACATGCGTGTGCACATGGGGGAGAAACCATTTTCTTGCACCCAGTGTGGGAAGACTTTCACCAAGAGGTCAACACTCATGCAGCACCAGCGCATGCACACGGGGGAGATGCTTTTCCACTGCAGCCAGTGTGGGAAGAGCTTCACTGAGAGCTCCAAACTCACCCGGCACCTGCGCGTGCACACGGGCGAGAAACCCTTCTCCTGCAGCCAGTGTGGGAAGAGCTTCACAGAAAGCTCCACACTCAGGCAACACCTGCGCGTGCACACGGGGGAGAAGCCCTTCTCCTGCACCCACTGTGGGAAGAGCTTTGTCGAGAGGTCCAAACTCAACAAGCACCTGCGGGTGCACACGGGGGAGAAGCCCTTCTCCTGCCCGCAGTGCGGGAAGAGCTTCACCGATAGTTCGACGCTCACCAAGCACCGGCGCGTGCACACGGGGGAGAAGCCATACCGCTGCGCCCAGTGCCAGAAGTGTTTCCGGCAGAGCTCTACGCTGAGAAAGCACCAGCAAACCCACGGGAGCAGGATGGTTGCTCTGAGCGGGGAGCAGTTTCCCTCATCCCCCCTGGCCAGTGGGCGTGAGGGTCCTGCCCCTGGACCGTAACACCCCCAGCTCCTTCCTAGGCTACTACCTGTGATGCCTTCCTTTTCCTTCCTGGGGCATTTGGGACATCACCGTTGTCACCTTTTACTGGCCTTGGTTGCCTTGTCCAGCTCTGTGTCAACCACACCGGTCCCCCGTTCGAGCGAGGGGGTGGGTTTGGATGAGACGCTCAATAAAGGGAATCTCCATGAGTCGGGTCTTGCCTGTTTTGTCCTAGGGAAGTCCCGCGCCACCTCTGTGCTCCACTGGTTTTGCTGTTTTACATGCCGGGACAGGTCTGCCTATGAAAAAAAGACTTGATTCCTGAATGTCACCCAAAAAAAGAAGAAAGAATGAGCTGTTTCTCACCATCCTAAGCAGAGCTAGGCTCTGGCTCCCAGGATGGGATCACCACCGCAGCAACCACTCCCCTCCCTGCCTCGCCGCTCCCCAGACTGGTCGTGACTGCAGGGGGGCTCTTGTTCTCTGCACCCAGGCTTGCCCTCCATGCCTTTGCAACCCAGCCCCAGCTGTGGGTGCCGGCCAGGATGGGCCCCGTGACTCCCGGGTCTGTGCGACCGTGTCCTGGGTCACAGCATCGCCTGCTGTCTCTACCTGTGAGCTGCAGCCGGGTCTGTTCTTCCATCAAGCCAGGAGTGCTCCCCAGGCTTGCCATTGTTCCCCTGGTTTGCCTGGGTTAGTTCAGCGTAGTATTGGTGTCTGCACGCCACGGGTCTTGTAGTGATATGACAGGGCTGACTGTAGCTTGAGGGATAGGTTAGGCAGTGACTTGTTTGGGATGTTTTGGACAGTGGTTTACATCAGTCATAATCTCCATGCAACTCTATCACTGTATAAAAACGAGGCCTAAAAGTGTGCAAGGCCGTGCCCGGGGTGCTCGGTCACTTTGAAAGCAAAGCAGCCCAGGGGCCGGCAGTTGGACCTGGGCTGCTGTAGAGACAGAGGCTGAGGCAGCTTCCAGGCACCCCTGCCGGGTTGTAACCAGAGGAGGAGAAAGGGGATTTAAATGCCACTGAGCCCAGCACAGGCTGCACCAGGGCCCTTGGGCTGCTGCAATGCACCCCCCAACCATAGACTCACGGTCCTCTGGGAGCACCAGAGCAGACAGGAAGAGTGATCATAGAGTCTCCACCCTCCACCAGGAAGCTGCCCCAGAAGGGACACAAGGCAGTGCTTCCCGTATCCCGCGGCAGCGGAAGTGACCTTGCTCCGAGGACAGGAGCACAGAGACCAGGTTGTACCGTATTTCTCTGACTATATGACGCTCCCATTTAGTGCAGACCTGCATTTTAAGGACCCCACTGTGGGGGTTCCTAGTACCATATTTCTAGTATTATATGCCCCCCCCATACCTGGATTTTGAGGGCCCCGTGTCAGACACCCCCCCCAGCATGTATTGCTTCAGCGCTTTGGTACCATATTTCTTTGTATATTAGATGCTCTTGTCCATAGTAGAGAGAACCTGCCCCCTAGCCCCCTGGCTCCAGAGCCATGGTACCGTATTTCCTTGTGTATAAATACACTTGCATCCATAGGATGGACCGAGATTTTGGGAACCCCCCCCCCCTCCCCCTCCACGCAGTGGCAGGTGGCTCCAGAGCCATGGTACCGTATTTTCTTGTGTATAAATACGCTTGCATCCATAGGATGGACCTGGATTTTGGGAACCACACACACACACAAACACACACACACACACACACACACACACAGTGGCAGGTGGCTCCAGAGCTGTGGTACCGTATTTCTTTGTATAGTGTACAAATACGGTACGATCTCCATGCACTTGTGTGTCTGTGATGGTGATCTCCGTGTGCTTGTGTGTCAGTGTGACAGTGACCTCTGTGCATCTATGTGATGGTGATCTCCGTGCACTTGTGTGTCTGTGATGGTGATCATGTGCTTGTGTGTCAGTGTGACAGTGACCTCTGTGCATCTATGTGATGGTGATCTCCGTGCACTTGTGTGTCTGTGATGGTGATCATGTGCTTGTGTGTCAGTGTGACAGTGACCTCTGTGCATCTATGTGATGGTGATCTCCGTGCACTTGTGTGTCTGTGATGGTGATCATGTGCTTGTGTCGGTGTAATGGTGATCTCTGTGCATCTTTGTGATGGTGATTTTCTGTGTGCCTGTGTGTCTCTGTGCGCCTGGGAGTTTTTCTGCCAGTGTGTGTGTGTGTGTGTGTGTGTGTGTGTGTGTGTGTGCACGCGTGCCAGTGTCTATGTGAGCCCGTGTGCCTTTCTGCACGTGTGAGCCTGTGCGTGCGTCTACGTGAGCCTGTGAGTCTGTGCCTGTGCACGGCTCCGTGCCCCATCTCTGTCTGTGTACGTGCCTGTGCATATCTGCGTGTGTCTGTGCGTGCATATATGCACGAGCTTTTGCAGGTGAAGCTCATCTCTCAGGCACTTCCAAAGGAGTCGGTCGGTCGGTCGGTCGGTCGGGGCGGGCCAGGGCGGAGCTGCAGCAGGACGTGATGCTGGGGCTAAATCCAGCCCCTTCCGCCCTCCCTCTCCCAGCTGGGCAGGCCTGGTGGGAGGAGGAGCAGGGGCTGCAGGTGGGGAGTGAGGGTCCCCAGCGACACGTGGGACTGGGTCCAGCCCAGTCCCTGCACCCCGTGCCGGGGCAGGACCCCCGTGGCCCCTCGGTGCAGGGCTGCGGGGCTGGGTCGTGGTCCTGGTGCCCCCGTCGCACGCTAACGCCTGCTGTCTCCTTCCCGCAGGCAGCCAGGAGCCCGGACACCCCAAGGAGATGGCTGCGGAGCTGGAGCCGGCGCCAGCCGCGGGCTTCCCCTTCCCGGCGCCGGTGACGATGGAGGAGCAGGACCCGGCTGGCCCCGAGCCTGGGGTGGGAGCCGAGGGGGCAGGGAAAGCATCCCCCAGAAGCCCGGCAGCCCCCGTGGTCAAGCAGGAGCCCGTGGAGGAGCCCATCCAGGGCTGGCAGGTGAGTCCGCATTGCCGAGCACTGGGTCTCTGCTCCAGGTGGCTGCGGGAGCTGTGCCAGCTGGCGGTGCTGGAGCAAGCCCTGGCCACCCTGCCCGAGAAGATGCCGAGCTGGGCGTGAGGACACGGCGTGGAGACGTGCACCGAGGCGGTGGCCTTGGCTGAAGGGTTTTGGCTGGGGCAGTGGAGGAGGAGACAGGGGCTGCTGGTTTGTCTCTGGCCATTTGCTCCCAGTCCCGTCTCTCCCAGTGACGTGGCTGTTTCGTCCCCAGGTCACCGTGCACGTCAAGCTCGAGGACGTGGCCCTGAACGTGGAAGGACCTGGGGCATCGCCAGAGCCTCTCTCCTCCGGGCTAGAGCAGCCTCCGCCCCAACCCGGGCACGTGGCTAAGGAGGGGGCTGCTGCTGCTTTGTCTCTGGCCATTTGCTCCCAGTCCCGTCTCTCCCAGTGACGTGGCTGTTTCGTCCCCAGGTCACCGTGCACGTCAAGCTCGAGGACGTGGCCCTGAACGTGGAAGGACCTGGGGCATCGCCAGAGCCTCTCTCCTCCGGGCTAGAGCAGCCTCCGCCCCAACCCGGGCACGTGGCTAAGGAGGGGGCCGGATGGGGTGAAACCCCCAGGCCCCAGAAGGAGCTGCCTTGTGCCCCGAAAGAGGAGCCCCCACCCCGCCAGGAGCCAGGTAACGTGGCAGAGGCTTGGGTAGACGAAGTGAGGGGCCCGCACGATGGTGTTCAGCCCCTGGAGTGAGGAGCCGGGGTCTCTCGCTGCGAGTCCGGGAGGCGACAGGACCTCGTGCGGACCCAGCAGCACCAGGGGAAAGAGCCTTTGCCTTCGTGGTGTTATTTTAAAACCTGGGATTAGGGTGTTGAGAGGGAGAATGGTCCGGAGGCAGGAGTTTGCTCTGCATGCATGTAGGTTTATTCAGCAGCCGGTGCACACCCGTACACCTAGAAATGCACTAGTCACCTTGCCGGCGAGTCTTGCTCCCTGTCCTGTCGATCAGACAGTCCGGGGTCTCACCGAGCCATTCAGGGGTGTCTAATAGTCCAACGCCCCTCTGTTTCCAAACTGCTTCGTTACATGCATATTCATCGTTTCCCCCGTGACGATTGCTACGGCTACTGACCGTTTACAAGTTATTTGCAGACCTCCTTTTTCACCATAGGCTGCTTTCTAAAACCCGCGCCCGGACCAGCATATTTCCTTCTCATGCTTCTCTCTCTGCACAACGTTTTCTCGCTTTCCTCACCGCCTTTTCCACTTGGACAAAGCGGCAGCAGCGCAGCTTTGCTCAGCTTTAACCAGTTAGTGGCTTTTTAGCAAGCTTGTGGGGTATGTAAGTCCTGGCAGGAGCGGACACTGGCAGGTTTTGTGCTTACGCCGAGCGCTGCTGTGATCGTTCTCCATGCTGGAGTCCCAGTCATTTCTCTGCCTTGCCCACTATGTGCCTAAGAACAGGCTATTGTAGGTATTTGGGCAATGGGTTTTTTTTTCTAGTGACTTTGGGTGGGTTTTTATGTACCATTAACTCCAGGCCTCTGTCCGCTGCAGATTCCCCCGACACAGAGGCGACCTGGGACTCGTCAGCAGATGAGAGCTCGTTGGACTACTTCCCCAGAGGAGGCTCTTTGCTAGGGACAGGTAAGAGGTGGCGATTCTGCCCTTTCCAGCAGCGGGAGGCCTCGCCCATCAGCAGAAAACTTTTCTGTTCCCCTGTTTTGTTGGGGATCAATTCAGGACATTGCTTGTTCTCATGGCGTCCCCCTAGAAGTCACCCTCAGCCTTTGGAGCAAGTGGCTCTGTTTGTTCCCTTTTCCTCCTCCTCCTCCTCCACTACGTGGATTGCGATGGAGCACCAGCATCCTGCTTGGTTTCCCTTCCAGGCAAGGGCCATCATCAAGGCTCATCCCCATCATCATGGCTATAGAGCTCTATTAGGGCCCTGCTACATGTGCAAATGAAAGCTGGATAAAAAAACAGCTATAGAGTTGTTGCACATTTTCAATTAGTGATTGCATAGCTTGCTTGCTCCCTTTGGTAGCTGGATGGCCATTTTTAGGGTGTGATCATTACTTTCTGCATGTGGCATGTCTAAATTGATTGTGCAGTTCACCACTGAATAGTGCAATAATTCCTTTGCTGTTGTGCCTGGTCTTACTTTGCATTTGTATGCAATTGAAAAGCCTTGTACCATTCACTAGTGAATTGTGTAATATATGTAACATATAGCACGGGCCTTAGAAGACCTGTGGGACCGTGACTCTTCCAAATCTGTCTTCTCCCATACATTGAGGCCTGGGGGCTGACTGAGGCACATGCCAGCATGCAGGAGTCGCAGGGCTTTGCCTTTGCCAGTGGCACTAGGGTAACCTTTGTCATCGTCGCCGTCCTCATTGGGTGTTATTGAGGTGTTATCGGTGGTGAAGACCCCTATCACATGATATATATATTCAGGAATCCGGGGTTTCTGTTTCCTGCTG